TACACATGAGTGTGTGTGTGTCTCTCAGGTCCTGTACACATGAGTGTGTGTGTGTGTGTGTGTGTCTCTCAGGTCCTGTACACGTGAGTGTGTGTGTGTCTCTCAGGTCCTGTACACATGAGTGTGTGTGTGTGTGTGTCTCTCAGGTCCTGTACACATGAGTGTGTGTGTGTGTGTCTCTCAGGTCCTGTACACATGAGTGTGTGTGTGTGTGTGTGTCTCTCAGGTCCTGTACACGTGAGTGTGTGTGTGTCTCTCAGGTCCTGTACACATGAGTGTGTGTGTGTCTCTCTCAGGTCCTGTACACATGAGTGTGTGTGTGTGTGTGTCTCTCAGGTCCTGTACACGTGAGTGTGTGTGTGTGTGTGTCTCTCAGGTCCTGTACACATGAGTGTGTGTGTGTGTGTGTGTCTCTCAGGTCCTGTACACATGAGTGTGTGTGTGTGTGTGTCTCTCAGGTCCTGTACACATGAGTGTGTGTGTGTCTCTCAGGTCCTGTACACATGAGTGTGTGTGTGTGTGTGTGTCTCTCAGGTCCTGTACACATGAGTGTGTGTGTGTCTCTCAGGTCCTGTACACATGAGTGTGTGTGTGTGTGTGTCTCTCAGGTCCTGTACACATGAGTGTGTGTGTGTCTCTCAGGTCCTGTACACATGAGTGTGTGTGTGTGTGTGTGTGTCTCTCAGGTCCTGTACACATGAGTGTGTGTGTGTCTCTCAGGTCCTGTACACATGAGTGTGTGTGTCTGTCTCTCAGGTCCTGTACACATGAGTGTGTGTGTGTGTGTCTCTCAGGTCCTGTACACATGAGTGTGTGTGTGTCTCTCAGGTCCTGTACACATGAGTGTGTGTGTGTGTGTCTCTCAGGTCCTGTACCCGTGAGTGTGTGTGTGTCTCTCAGGTCCTGTACACATGAGTGTGTGTGTGTGTGTGTGTCTCTCAGGTCCTGTACACGTGAGTGTGTGTGTGTCTCTCAGGTCCTGTACACATGAGTGTGTGTGTGTCTCTCTCAGGTCCTGTACACATGAGTGTGTGTGTGACACTCCTGGAATCTTGGAGTCGTCCGTGGGATTCGATGACATCATCACTGTGTGACTGTTGTTGTGATGTTATGAAGGATTTCTCCGGAGAGAGTGTGTTTCCTGCGTTTACTCACTGGAAGGGTTAGTTGTGTGTGAGTAATCACAATAATCCGCTCAGGGAAGAGTTGCTCATAGTTTGATCCCATGTGTTCTGGGATGAGTGTGTGTGTGTGTGATCTCACTGCACACACAGGTTTGCATGAGTGCTGTTTTCCATGATCTCGGCCGTCGGGATCATCGCTCCACCAGATCCGCAGTTCAGTTCGTCAGTGTGCCGGAACATGCTGATCGATGACCTTTTTTCCAACACAATTGACGAAGAAAATGTGGGAACAATAGAAAGCAAAAATCACACTCCATTTTAAAACATAAATATTTGATATATGAGATGGTTTGTGTGTGTTTTATGCAAATTAGTATCCTCAGACCTCAGGCCACTCGTATACACATGCCTATGCCGAACGAGAGCAGTTGTATGCGTATGAACACAATAAATCAGTCAGTTATTAGCGAATGAGACTCCGTGTCCTGGTTTCGGTCTCGTGTGTGTGTGTGTGTGTGTGTGTGTTTCGGTCAATGTTCACAGCGTGTCAAACACTTACGGGTGTGGCGTTGCGTTATCACAGGAGTTCTGACACATGACATGATCATGTGATCTCTCCTGACCGCATCATCATATCCATCGATCTTGCATTGTTCTGCTTTATGATCAGATGATGGGATGGTGAGCTTCAGCCCGAGAGCTTTAGACAGCAGGGCTTCCTCTACTGCCAGACTGTGTGTTATTGTAACCCAGATCCGGGCTGTAGACGGGCCCCTCGGGGGCGGAGCCTGTAGGGGGCGGAGCCTGTAGGGGGCGGGGTCAGAGGAGATGACATCACTGGAGCAGATGGTCATTCAGACTGTGGAGTGAATGAGACGAGACGCTGGGATTGAGTTCATATGACTTCAGTTTATCAGAGGTATTTATCTGTGTGTGTGTGTGTGTGTGTGTGTGTGAGAAAGTGAGTGAGTGAGTGAGTGAGTGAGTGTGTGTGCGCGTACCCGAGTGTCTGCGCGTGTGTGACTGAGTCTGTGTGTGTGAAAGTGAGTGAGTGAGTGTGTGTGTGTGTGAGTGAGTCTGTGTGTGTGTGTGTGTGCGTGTGTGTGTGTGTGAAAGTGAGTGTGTGTGTGTGAGTGAGTCTGTGTGTGTGTGTGTGTGTGTTGAACTGTTTCTGTCTTTCTCTGGACTTTTGTTATGAAGAGCTCAGGATGTATAAAGCTGATCTCTCTCTCTCTCACACACACACACACACACACACACACACACACTCCAGTGAGGTTTTATCACTCATCAGGCTGCAGAGTTCAGAGGTCAAGGCTTTTCAGAAGGTCATGTGATCTGAGCATTTGGTTTCAATTTCTCGTTTCTGTTTTGGAGACACAGAGGCCTTATGTTTATACCAGCATGGAGCCGTGGTGTGTGTGTGTGTGTGTGTGTGTGAGAGTGTGTGTGTGTGTGTGTGTGTGTGTGTGTGTGTGTGTGTGTGAGAGAGTGTGTGTGTGTATAAAGGACCGTTTACACCAAGGACAATAACTATAATGATATTGTAAAATCATTATAAATGTAAAACTATAGTGAAGTCCTCAACACAACTATAACGGTAATGACATCAACATCATTGGAATCACTTTCAGAGTGGTTTAAAAACATCGACAGCCAATCAGAATCCTTCCTGCTTTAAAGAGCATTTAAAGCGACTAAACTGCAGCGCATAATAAACAGAACGATATCGTCCGTTGATGTGGATATATTATTATTATAGTAACTGTTCTTGGTGTGAGTTGAGCACATATGAGCATCATCAAGTTATTCATCTTTATTCTAATTCTTCTCATTACTGTAAATCAGTTGTATAGAAACTCAGACGAACTGCTCATGACGGTCATGGGAACCTCGTTAGTCGAGTCTCCGTCATTTACACAGCAGCTTTACTGAGAGAACAGGACAATAATGCAGCAGAGTGTGTGTCCAGAAGAGAATAGCGTCACAGTCCAGCTTAAGTCAGTTCAGTGATGCTTCATTTCTGCTGTAAAGTTATTAATTTAGTTCATTTATATATATAGCGGCTCTGGAGAAAACCGTGATGTCATCGTCCAGCTCAGTTCAGTTCTCATATAATGCTGTCAATGCAGGAGATCAATAATATTGCTGAATATTACATTAAATGTCTCCAAATAAGCAACAGGAACCGAAACTCCATCAGTGACGGAGTGGAGGAAAACCCTCGAGAGAAACCAGACTCAGCCTCAGTTCTCCTCTGGACAGCAGTGTGTGATTATGATTATGATTATGATTATGATTCAGGCATTGCAGGTCAGAGGTCAGACTGGATTAGAACATCCAGAATATGATCCAGTTCCGTCTGGCTGAAGATCGGAGTCGCTCCAGTTTAAAGTTGTGCTGTTGATGATGAACAACAGATATCAGAAAACTGGTTCACTCTTCATCATGAGTGTGTGTGTGTGTGTGTGTGTGTGTGTGTGTGAGAGTGAGTGAGTGAGTGAGTGAGTGAGTGAGTGAGTGAGTGAGTGAGTGAGTGTGTGTGTGTGTGGCGTTGTGTTGCTGTCGGGACTCATGGTTGAGTGTGTGTGTGTGTGTGGCGTTGTGTTGCTGTCGGGACTCGTGGCTGTTCGTTCGGGCTGGTTAACCCATGACATCATCCACATGTGTTTGTGTTTGTGGTTGAGTTTAGTCATTCAGACTCTCAGAAGAACACAAACACTGATGACGATCACAGCACCCGTCAGCGTTAGCGTCAGTGTTAGCGTCAGCGTTAGCGTCAGTGTTAGCGTCAGCGTCAGTGTTAGCGTCAGCGTTAGCGCCAGTGTTAGCGTCAGCGTTAGCGTCAGTGTTAGCGTCAGCGTCAGTGTTAGCGTTAGCGTCAGAGTTAGCGTTAGCGTCAGCGTCAGTGTTAGCGTCAGCGTTAGCGTCAGTGTTAGCGTCAGTGTTAGCGTCAGCGTTAGCGTCAGTGTTAGCGTCAGCGTTAGCGTCAGCGTTAGCATTAGCGTCAGTGTTAGCGTCAGTGTTAGCGTCAGCGTTAGCGTCAGTGTTAGCGTTAGCGTCAGTGTTAGCGTCAGTGTTAGCGTCAGCGTTAGCGTCAGCGTCAGTGTTAGCGTTAGCGGCAGCTTCAGGTGTTCCTCTGGTGTTCTTTGCGTGTCGGTCAAAAATTACAGAATTAGTTTTTTTTGTCAATGAAATGAATGTACAGTATTTTAGTTTGATAATGTTTTTTATTTAATATTTTGTATTTTTAGGGGATTTTATGGCACTAAATTATATTTACTTATGTTTATTTATAATCCATTTATTCACTTTTTGAGCATAGACGTCTTAAACGCTTTAAATCACAGACTGAAGTTTGATCTCTTCTCAAACACGACACTCGGCAGATTATTGCTGAAGTGAACTTAAAAAAGGTTACAGAATTTTACGTTTATTTTTATGAAAAATGTGCAAAAATACAATTTAAAATTTTATGTGAAATATATATTTTCAAAAACATGTTTTACTCTAAAACTGAGCAAATCAAGCCATGAACTGAGCATGTTGTGCTGCGCATGTGAGGCTGATCTGTCAGTGAATGATCTTCCAGTGAGATGTTGATCGGCTGCAGTTCCAGACGCTTCCACTAGAGGAAACTCGACATTCATTTCCAATGCGCTCGTTTCTGACCGCGAGAAACACAAGTGTGAATATTGTGTTCAGGACCGTTTAACCTGTTCACATCATGGCCATGATTTTCTTTTGTGTTCACACAGCAAGTGCCAAAACCTTTACCCAGATTCGTATGAAGTAAAAAACGTAAAATCTTTCCGACCGAATAACACAACTCAAACATGTTTGTAACTGCTATGTTTGTTTCCTCTCTTCCTGCAGTTGTTTGTGAGACGATGCTCAAACCCCCACACTAAGATGTAGAGTCCACACGAGGAGGAGTAAGAAGAAGAAGAAGAGACAGAACGAGGAAGAAACTCCGACACACACGAAGAAAACGAGAGCCGTTTCACCCGTCAGAAACCCCACGGTGACCTTTGACCTCATCCGCCACCGCACCATGTGTCACGTGATCGTGACGTGCCGCTCGATGCTATGGACGCTGCTTAGCATCGTCGCGGCGTTCAGCGAGCTCATCGCGTTCATGAGCACCGATTGGCTGGTGGGGTTCCCACGCGCGCCGGACGCCGTGTTCTCGGGTGTTCACGGTGTTCACGGGTCGACGGGCGAGGCGTATCGGCCCACGCTGGGCATCTACGGGCGCTGTCTACGCCTGCCTCACCTGCGCCGCGGCGTTCTGTGCGGCCCGTACGCCGTTAGCTTCACGGAGATCGCCAGCGGGTTCTGGAAGGCCACCGCCATCTTCCTAGCGGCGGGAATCCTGATGCTGTGCGCCGTGGCCTTCATATCCGTCTTCACCATGTGCTTCCAGAGCATCATGAAGAAGAGCATCTTTAACGTGTGCGGACTCCTGCAGGCCATCGCCGGTGAGACACACACACACACACACACACACAGTATTTCACTGCAGTAAAGGAACGATAACTACATCAGCGTCCACAGCAGCGCACGATTAGCTCCTGTTCATTCTAAGCTCGCGCTGCATTTTTGTCGTCTTCCACTGTGAACGCTTAAAGGGATAGTTCACCCAAAAATTTCCTAGGTGTATATGACATCCTTCTTTCAGAAAAAAAACTATCCGCAGCTATCCATCATAAAAGTGCATCTATCCATCATAAAAGTGCATCTGTCCATCATAAAAGTGCATCTATCCATCATAAAAGTGCATCTATCCATCATAAAAGTGCATCTGTCCATCATAAAAGTGCATCTATCCATCATAAAAGTGCATCTATCCATCATAAAAGTGCATCTGTCCATCATAAAAGTGCATCTGTCCATCATAAAAGTGCATCTATCCATCATAAAAGTGCATCTGTCCATCATAAAAGTGCATCTATCCATCATAAAAGTGCATCTATCCATCATAAAAGTGCATCTGTCCATCATAAAAGTGCATCTGTCCATCATAAAAGTGCATCTGTCCATCATAAGTGCATCTGTCCATCATAAAAGTGCATCTGTCCATCATAAAAGTGCATCTATCCATCATAAAAGTGCATCTATCCATCATAAAAGTGCATCTGTCCATCATAAAAGTGCATCTATCCATCATAAAAGTGCATCTATCCATCATAAAAGTGCATCTGTCCATCATAAAAGTGCATCTGTCCATCATAAAAGTGCATCTATCCATCATAAAAGTGCATCTGTCCATCATAAAAGTGCATCTATCCATCATAAAAGTGCATCTATCCATCATAAAAGTGCATCTGTCCATCATAAAAGTGCATCTGTCCATCATAAAAGTGCATCTGTCCATCATAAGTGCATCTGTCCATCATAAAAGTGCATCTGTCCATCATAAAAGTGCATCTATCCATCATAAAAGTGCATCTGTCCATCATAAGTGCATCTGTCCATCATAAAAGTGCATCTGTCCATCATAAGTGCATCTGTCCATCATAAAAGTGCATCTGTCCATCATAAAAGTGCATCTATCCATCATAAAAGTGCATCTATCCATCATAAAAGTGCATCTGTCCATCATAAAAGTGCATCTATCCATCATAAAAGTGCATCTATCCATCATAAAAGTGCATCTGTCCATCATAAAAGTGCATCTGTCCATCATAAAAGTGCATCTGTCCATCATAAGTGCATCTGTCCATCATAAAAGTGCATCTGTCCATCATAAAAGTGCATCTATCCATCATAAGTGCATCTGTCCATCATAAAAGTGCATCTGTCCATCATAAAAGTGCATCTGTCCATCATAAGCAATGGCCCGATGGCCCGGGGCCAGTAAAAGTGTATGTCGGGCCAGTGACTGGCTATCAGCAAAACAAACAGCAAACGTCATACACAGTGGCGCGAAGAGTGTCAATGTTACTTCAGGTTATTTATAACGTGTTAAAATGTCAAAGAACTACGAGGCTGATACGAGAAAGAGGACATCCCTAGTGTCATGGAAAACACAGTAGCCTACACCTGGTAGGGATGGGTACCGAAAGCCGGTATTATACGGGCCCCGGGGCTGAATTTCGAAAGACCGCCATCGATAAGCTCGGACGTTATCTGTTCTGCTGTCGGTACTGGAGAAATAAACATAGGCCTATCATTTATTATTGCTATAAAGACGTTGTTGTTTTTTTACCATCTCAATTAGTCGCCAGTCATTTCTATAGCCTATATAATAAAATTAAACCATTTGTCTGTGATGCATTTTTGCTATTCGCAGTTCAGAAGAGAGAGAGATCTCTCACGCGCGCGCGCACAACACGACAGCTCTGCTTAATGAATGACAACGGAGGACAGAACTAAACATTCGAACCTAGCCTATATGGTTACACTTTAGATCTGTGATATTAGTCTGATTTTATTTTAGATTTCGGCTTGCAAAGATTATAGATTATTTGAGGTAAAACCATTAAAAACTACAGCCGCATTCTGTCTAGCGCAACTTTCTTCAATTCGCAGAAGTAGCCTATACGCTGTCATTTCTCCTTAAAGCTCAAACTTTAAGACAGAATCAGCACGATCGGTGATTGTTGTAAAATTGTTGTCTCTACTGTTTCTAAATCGCGGGACGCGTTTAATAATAAAAAGAGCTATTAAAAGCACAAAAATCTGCACAAGAGATGCTGTTCCCAATGCGGCGCGCGCTCCGAAACAGACCGTAACGAGACAAGCAAATTACACTTTTGGCTTCATGTGCGCGTCTAAACGATCAAATGTACACAAAAATGTGTCAAAATGACCTGCTTGGAGATTCACTTAAACAGTTTATGTCTAAAATGGACGTAGTTATGGTGCATTAAAATATAGTGCATCAGACTATTAGATCTGCACTCGTTCTTAAAGGGGAAGCCGTCTAATAAACATGCTGACGATTGCGCCATTACTCCGAATCAAACAACAAAAGGCAAAAAAGAAAGTCCCTCACAGCTCTTGAATGAATAACTTTAGCTTTAATAAGCATAAGTAACAGTGATGGAGATGAGGAGAGAGCAGGTATTGACAGATAATCTACTGCACGCTGACATTTGGTTATTTTTGCATTTCTCCAGGGGCTCTCTCTTAATTCCTCAATTTGCTGTATTGATTAATCCTAATGTATACAATAAATACAGTTTAATGGAAAAGTGCTTTTCCTTATATTTCTTTCAGGGCCAGTAAAAATATAGAAGGGGCCAGCAAAACTCTGATCTACTGGCCCCGAGGGCCAGTGGGGATTTTTTTTTTATGTTGAGCCCTGATCATAAGTGCATCTATCCATCATAAAAGTGCATCTGTCCATCATAAAAGTGCATCTGTCCATCATAAAAGTGCATCTGTCCATCATAATAGTGCATCTCTCCATCATAAAAGTGCATCTCTCCATGATAAAAGTGCATCTATCCATCATAAAAGTGCATCTATCCATCATAAAAGTGCATCTGTCCATCATAAAAGTGCATCTATCCATGATAAAAGTGCATCTGTCCATCATAAAAGTGCATCTATCCATCATAAATGTGCATCTCTCCATCATAAAAGTGCATCTCTCCATGATAAAAGTGCATCTGTCCATCATAAAAGTGCATCTCTCCATCATAAAAGTGCATCTCTCCATCATAAAAGTGCATCTATCCATGATAAAAGTGCATCTATCCATGATAAAAGTGCATCTATCCATCATAAAAGTGCATCTATCCATCATAAAAGTGCATCTATCCATCATAAAAGTGCATCTATCCATCATAATAGTGCATCTATCCATGATAAAAGTGCATCTATCCATGATAAAAGTGCATCTATCCATGATAAAAGTGCATCTATCCATGATAAAAGTGCATCTATCCATGATAAAAGTGCATCTGTCCATCATAAAAGTGGATCTCTCCATCATAAAAGTGCATCTATCCATCATAATAGTGCATCTATCCATCATAAAAGTGCATCTATCCATCATAAAAGTGCATCTATCCATCATTATAATAGTGCATCTATCCATCATAATAGTGCATCTATCCATCATAAAAGTGCATCTATCCATCATAAAAGTGCATCTATCCATCATAATAGTGCATCTATCCATCATAATAGTGCATCTATCCATGATAAAAGTGCATCTATCCATGATAAAAGTGCATCTATCCATCATAATAGTGCATCTATCCATCATAAAAGTGCATCTATCCATCATAATAGTGCATCTATCCATCATAATAGTGCATCTATCCATCATAAAAGTGCATCTATCCATGATAAAAGTGCATCTATCCATCATAAAAGTGAATCTATCCATCATAAAAGTGCATCTCTCCATCATAAAAGTGCATCTATCCATCATAAACGTGCATCTCTCCATCATAAAAGTGCATCTATCCATCATAAAAGTGCATCTATCCATCATAATAGTGAATCTATCCATCATAAAAGTGCATCTATCCATCATAAAAGTGCATCTATCCATCATAATAGTGCATCTATCCATCATAAAAGTGCATCTATCCATCATAATAGTGCATCTATCCATCATAAACGTGCATCTCTCCATCATAAAAGTGCATCTATCCATCATAAAAGTGCATCTATCCATCATAATAGTGCATCTATCCATCATAAAAGTGCATCTGTCCATCATAAAAGTGCATCAGTCCATCATAAAAGTGCATCTATCCATCATAAAAGTGCATCTGTCATCATAAAAGTGCATCTATCCATCATAAAAGTGCATCTATCCATCATAAAAGTGCATCTATCCATCATAAACGTGCATCTCTCCATCATAAAAGTGCATCTATCCATCATAAAAGTGCATCTATCCATCATAATAGTGCATCTATCCATCATAAAAGTGCATCTATCCATCATAATTGTGAATCTATCCATCATAAAAGTGCATCTATCCATCATAATAGTGCATCTATCCATCATAATAGTGCATCTATCCATGATAAAAGTGCATCTATCCATCATAATAGTGCATCTATCCATCATAATAGTGCATCTATCCATGATAAAAGTGCATCTATCCATGATAAAAGTGCATCTATCCATCATAAAAGTGCATCTATCCATCATAATAGTGCATCTATCCATCATAATAGTGCATCTATCCATGATAAAAGTGCATCTATCCATGATAAAAGTGCATCTCTCCATCATAATAGTGCATCTATCCATGATAAAAGTGCATCTATCCATGATAAAAGTGCATCTATCCATCATAATAGTGCATCTATCCATCATAATAGTGCATCTATCCATGGTAAAAGTGCATCTATCCATCATAAAAGTGCATCTCTCCATCATAAAAGTGCATCTATTCATCATAAAAGTGCATCTGTCCATCATAAAAGTGCATCTATCCATCATAAAAGTGCATCTATCCATCATAAAAGTGCATCTGTCCATCATAAAAGTGCATCAGTCCATCATA